TTCCACCAGGTTGACTGACCACTGGTAGTCAGTCTAGGAGAGTTGGCTAAACCCTGATTCTAAACCACCCACAACTGGCGTAAGCTCATAGTGGCACCAATCTTCGGTGCAACCGAACCGGTCTCCAAAGTCAATCTTTGGAGTTGACCACCGTGATGCTCACCGGCAAGTGCGCTGCTCAAGGGCAATCTGGGTACCGTGGATAGTTGGCCGCATCCGAGAGGTGTATGAACTGCCCCCAGTCACCGGCTCCCAGAGGATCGTGGACTCCCTACTCCACCCCACTGCCTTGTGGGTCAGGCTCTCTAACCAAAGGCTCCGGGTAAGGTCCCCCGGGAAAACTCTCTACCTCGGTCCGGGCAACCGGGTAGTACCACGCCCACAAACTAACCATTGACTTATGAACATACACATTTACGCATGTCACGGAATACTACACTTGTGCAAAGCTTTCTCTTAGAATCTGGACGCAACACTTCCACCCGCCACTCACACAATAACCTTTTTCCCGTGTTTGTCCCACCCCAAACGGTTTCACTGACGTAGGTTCATGTCGTGGCTCGCCGCTATCCTCCTTGACATCTGTCTCGGGACCGTCCGTTCCATTCCTCCGACCTCACTCTACGTTCAAACTGGCTTCATTCAACGTAAGAACTCTAATGCGTATAGGACAACAAGCAGGTTTGGCTCATACGCTCGAAAGTCTAGAGATTGATGTATGTTGCCGGAAACACGCATCCAGCATCCGATCTCAGTGATCCGATTAACGTCTCCTTCCAATCCTAAAGAGGCGTTTCAACTGTGTCTCCGGGAACCCTGTCGCTTCAGCATTTGGTCAAGCAGGCGTTGGTATTGCCTTGAGCGCCAGGGCCGAGGCTGGTCTATTGGATTAGATCCCGATAGATAGCCGACTATGCGCAGTGAGACTCAGAGGCTCAAGTAAGGTCAAAAAGCAGAAACCAAATGAACTATGCTTATTCGTGGTTTCTGCATACCCTCCCACAGACTGTAGCCCGGATACAGTCAAGGACGCCTTCTATCACAATCTACATGAGCTTATTCTCAAAGCACCTAAGACGGATATTGTGATCCTGGTCGGAGACCTAAATGCACGCGTTGGTCGTCTATCACTCGATGAGACCCACCTTGGTGGCCGTCACGGCCTTGACAGCTGTCGTTCAGATAATGGGGATAGACTTCTTAGCATATGCTCAGAAGACGGTCTGTTCTTCGTTAGCACG